CAATTTTCGCCTTCACATGGAGCGCACATTACGTTAGGTTTTAAATTTGGAAGACTGTCACTTTTAATAATAGTTATATAAAAACTTATTAATTAGTAGCTATTAGACTATTTTATACTTTTAATAAAATTTAGTATTATTACATTATTGCAAAATATAAATTTTCTTCTTTCAAAAAGTTATAAAATATTCTAAACTAAAAGTTAACATGCAAAACTGTGTAATTATTTTATTCGAATACTCATTCCAACTCGAGCATGGGACCAAAATCATTGTTCCTCGAGCATACCAATTCTCCAGCCACCTATGGATTCGTATAATTAATGAATTGACTGATGGCCATGTTAATTAGCGATGAGGGAGCGGCCAGCATGTCAATAGCCAACCATACAACGGTGTAATTGTGACTTACGACGTGGAATATGAAAAAGACGCGATGAAGATAGTCATACTTAGCTAAATGATAGCGATTGACGATAATGTATGGTGCTATATGGTGTTCCCACGGCCACTTAATTGGAATTTTAATTTAATTAAAAACGAAAACATGATTTGTAATTAAATAAGTTTAACTATCATTTATTCAAAAGTACGAAGATTGTGAGTCTATATCAATAATCAATAATCTCTATGAAAAGTCGACTACTTTCTAACGTAAACCATGACACAACCTGTAAATCTTGATGTCTAGTTGCTTCTTTCAGTATTTCAGTATATTTACGTTTATTATTCTCTAAACTGTGAAAAAAGATCGGTTAAAATGTCTCACCTTGTTTAGTAATATGTTATTAAAGGTATCAATAACCGTGCAAAGCGTGAACGTATATATCTTCCACGGTTTTCAAATTTAAAATGTAGGAGGATGTATGTTATTATACCATAACATAGGTTATTAAAAATGTGCTCTAATCTTTTTCATTGTAAAATTATGAAATTAACTGATGTGAGTCAATTTTTAATATCAAGTGGTGCTGAACTGAATCGGCAGTCAGGCGGCATGACTGGCAAATTTTTTTGTTAGGTATAGAAAATATGAAAAAGTTCCATTTAAAATAATTGATTACATATCTACCTATAGAATTTTTAAATTTGGTTTAATTCTCAAGTGAGCAGGAGATTCGGTAATTATAATAAAATAGTTTAAACAATAAATATGTACAGCGTGACAATTGACAATTGACAATTATTTAGAAATGCAATGGATTTCTCTTGAAATAGAGATAAGTAAAACGTAATAAAGCTTTAAAACGGTTCAGTAATTTGCTCAGCGCTTGGGCATTATTATCAGTGTCAAGTTTTTATAAATTTTCTTAATAGAAATGATCATTATGCTCTTCCAGTTTTCAAGCAATTATACAGTCGTCAGCAATTTCTGTACACAATGTACACAATAAATTTAATGAAAATAGCTACTTATTCGATATTTTTAATGTTTAGGTTCAGAATTATTATCGCTTCCATTTTTTTTACTTTGTTATTCAAAGGGTACATGAATGCCCAGATTTTATGTCGAATTTAGCTTTATCCAAAGCAGACAAGCCCACAAATTTGGTACCCAGATTACGCACGCAGAGTAGACATATATTGTAAGGAATGGAACGCACTCCTACCTGGAGCCAGCAGCTAATATGGTCGCCCTAAGGGTTGGAAATACCAAAAGAAATACCTTAAAACTTTCCTTGAGACTTTTAAGAAAATGTTGACAGCTTTTTTCCATTTTTTATTGACATTCCCTTTCAACAGTTTTCAAATACATGGTGATAAAATAAAAAAACACAACAATATAAAACAATTAGACAATAGAACTATTTGCTAGTCCATTTTTAACACTCCCACCTTGAGTCTTCTTTGATGACTCAATCAATTTAATGGCTAGAATCGTTTGGGCGGTCTACTTTATCATCCACATCTAGTTCTTATTGTTGTCGGTTTTATCTCTCCTCTTGCTTCAGGTACATTTCTTCTTTCTTCATGTTTCTCTTCTGTATCTTGTCCAGCTTTGCTTCTGTAGGGGAAAGTCCAACAAGTGGGCTTTAGATTTATAGGCTCTAAAGTTTCATTAGAGTTCAGTTTCTGTTTTTCCTCCAGAGCCTTTTTACATTTAATTAGACCTTCTTTTACACCCTCTTGTTCCAATTCATCTAATTCGAATGGATGTAATCGCTGGATTGGTCTTAACAGCATCCCAGAACTTGTTTTCAATTTAACCAGACGAACCTTCTTGTCCTTTCCAGAAAAAAGTTCGATAACCAAACCTAACAACCAATCCATTCGTTTCTTCTTGTCCGATTCTATAAACACCAAATATCCCACTTTAATGTCCTTACTTTTGCGTCTAGAATTTAATAATATAAATTTACCCAAATATTTTTCTCGGAATCTCTTCCTAAAACGGCTCTAAGTCGATATAAATAACGTATATGTCTTCTTAGGGATATTTTGTCTCCTGTATCTAGGTCTGGTGTGCCTATTTCTGTCATATCCTGTAAAAACATTGACGGTGTTAGAGGGACTAAATCTTCGTTTTCTTCACCAATATATGTGAGCGGGCGAGAATTTACTATAGCTTCACATTCGCAAATAACTGAAGACAATTCTTCGAAGTTTAACGACGTCCTCCCTAATTGCTTTTTTAGCAACTGTTTAAGTATTCTTATAATATGTTCCTACCATCCGCCCCACCAGTCTGCGGTAGCAGGATTAAATTTCCACGTGATCCTTTGTGGTTTCTCTTTGTATTAGGTCCCAATCAATTTTCTGCAAATAATTAAATATTCCTACAAAATTCGTACCATTATTCGAGTAAATTATAGAACAACGACCCCTTCTGGCAATAAAACGTCTGAGAGCTAGTAAAAACGACTCAGTTGACAATGAAGGAACTACTTCTAGATGAACAGCACGGTAAACCGCACACGTGAATATACATATCCAAACCTTTTCTCCTGATTTTAAAAGAATAGCACCAGTCAAATCGATTCCTACAATTTCAAATATCGCGGTATCTCTCACTCGATCACCGGGAAGCACTACTGAGTCAGTTGACAAACTTTTTGCCTCATATCTCTATTATTTAACTTAATATTCAACTCAACAATTATTCTTCTAATAATTTTATTTTCCCATCTGACTTTTTTTTCTTAATTCTTTGACAATTCTCAAATAAACAACAGTATAATTTAATTTCGATAAAATTTTGATGACGTCAAGAATTTCTATATTAATATATTATATTGGAATAAACACTTTAATTTAAACTTTACTAAACACTTAAAAAGTTTGTGTAAAAAATGAAGAATCCAATTTATTTCCATCCCTCATCATTCTCTCAAAGACCGGAAGCCCAAAACTAATATTAGTCAAAAATCTGGCAATCTCGAAAGTATTATTCAAGTTAAAATTACTCTTCCAACAAAAAAATATCTGAAGGGTGGCATGAAATAACGCTTTAGTTGTCGGTTTATTTTTGTCTGAATTGCTCCGAGAAAGAAGGGCAGAAGCTTATGGCGCATTTAGAGGGGAACGCGAATGGGAAAAATATTTAAAATAATGTAAAGATTGAGTTGAAAAATTAGAAGTCCTGCCAAGGAGTGTAGATAATGTGGATTTGATTTTTTACAAACATTTTTAGTGAAAAATTACATTAGTTTTATTTATATAGTAAAAGTTTGCGATACTTTGGATACTTCCAATCCCTATCATCAATTTCAAAATTATCCTTTTTGTAACAAATCGTGTACTTTTGATTTAACAGCACCAAACACTTCTTTGAGGGTATTTATAAAAGTGAAGTATTTTCTTGAAAGGTAAAAGTGAAAGTGTATGAAAGAGCTAACAAGGAGAAGATATTCTTTTATTTCATGTTTACACAGAAAAAAATTATCACCTACATTCAAGAAAAGCTTTACACTTGGAAGATTACATGTGTTTGAAATAAATCAGAGTTTGCTTTAAATAATGTTTCTCGATACAATAAGAAAGTAAATGTTGAGTGAAGTATAGGCATAATCTTTATAATAATTAATCTGAGATTAAATTATTTCATTCGAGTATAGAATTGTAAATTAATCCAAGAAAGCTCTTACGTTTATTGTAAGTATGATATGCTCTTAAAACTGACTGTTTTAAATTTTAGACAAAGAATTAAACAATTCGAATCAAAAACCTATGTACTTCACAAAAGATTAGCGACTACAAATTCACTGCACGGTGTTGCCAGCTGAAACTTATTTTAAAATGCATCCACTGCACTGATACGGTAGATATATGACTGGCACATGTTGAGATGTGATACTTATTATTTGGAAGTCAGAGACAACGCATTTATAAAGAATCTGGCAAATTGGCATTAGCACGTATTCATCCTATTGTATATTTTCTAACATGTTTGCTTCGTATCGTTGGGGTTGCGTTTTACTTTTTGTTAGAAATTCTTTGTGGATCAATTAATAAATGTATGCATATATTAAATTAATTCCGAATGTCAAATTTGGACACCCTTTACTTAGTAACGTTATCACACCTCCAAACAGATTACCTTTATTACATTTTAATATTATAGATAAAAATTTCAAAGACGGTCAGTCATCAAATGAATTTAAAACCTAAGAAACAATGTTTCGATAATGGATTTTTAAATAAAACTAATGAAACTCGAGCTAATTTGCCTAGAAAGAAAAAACTTCGAATTATAATGGAATTTTTCTTCTCTGGCATTTTGTATAACTAATCCTCTGCTGTGGTACTTGTATAGTCCTTCGCCGAATTTGATGATCCTCTCCATGTAATTATATTCCATAGTTATCGTATTGCCCCTAGGAAAAAATGCATTAGAAACATCATTCATTTAGCATAAAGAAAGAAGATCAAGCTAAGTGATTATATTTTTAACTTTCCTTTAACAAAATGTATATTTTTAATAACATAATTATGTTTTACCAAGAAATCATTTAAAGAATTAAAAATTGACAAAAAAAAACAGTGAACAGAATTTTTAAAAATCACCTGTAGGTTAAATAAAGCATATCGTCATATCTGAATCCCCATGGTTCTTGCGCTTCAACTCCCAAAAGCTGCCCATCACCGTCCCACGTATAGTTCTTGGTATAAGTTCTCGTTTGAGAAATTCTCCTAAAACAGAAAATCTTAGTTATAAGAAGTGTTGAAATTTAATTTAAAATATCTTACCCGTGAACATCGTGGCTGAACTCTATTCGGAAAACTTTCATACCATGAATGGTCAAAGCCAATCTTGTTTCCAACATTCTGGAATTGACGGTACTTGAAAATAGAGCTGTGCCATCATAGATTTTCGTCTCGTTGATTCTCTGTAATTATTGTCGTAGTCATATGTAAACCAGTTTTGGCATAAGATATTTCAACAATTTAATTCGAAACTATTATGATAGTTCGGGTTTCTTAAAAACTCGATGCAAACCGTTCGAGAACCAACGGAACAGTTCAATTCCAAATTATTTATCGCATAGAACTGTTAAACTGTTCACTGGTCAACTAGTCCTCTGATAGTTCTCAATATATATCCCAAGATTCAAGATTTTTTTTTGTTTATTTGGATAATTCATTAGTTTTTCAAATCAAGTACATGAATTATTTGTTTTGCAATTTCTGATTTTCATTATTTTAAACAAAAATAGTTAACGTACCTAAATAGTAAAATAATGTTTGTGATATTAAAGTAACTTTCCTAAAGATAACGTGGAGATAATTTATAATAATAGAATTTGTTTTTGAGTCAAACTCACTAGATAATCATTAGAAAATGATACTTTCATGAAATTATGAGTATTTTTAATAGAAACTAGTAAACGTTTGTAAAAATAGATTGTACTTTGTATGGAAATAAACTAATATATACAAATGATAGTAGGTGGGGTTATCCGGGTTTTCCTCACCTGTAAATAAAATGGCACCATCAGTCATCTTTAAGTCGTGCCAGAGTGCCATAGCAAATAATAATAGCCATTCTTGCTTCGCCTCATAAGAGGGTGAAGTGTAGGGAAATCTATTTTATGTACACTATGTTAATATTATATGTCGTATTTGAATTGCAAATGCGACATATAAACTTAAAAATATGCACTTTGTACAATTATGCTTAACAAACTGATGATAATTTCACATACGACAAAGAAATAATATGATTTTTTGATCGGTGATGAAAGTTATACATTTTAAACTAATAAATAGACGAAAAACCTTGAACTGATGTGATGTAATACCCAAAAATCTCAAAATCTGCCAAATATGTAGATACGACTCTTATACCTAACACGACAGTACATCTATTACATAAATAGTAAGAAAATTTATATTTTTGGAAATCCAGATAAATTAAAGTGAAACTGCACCTGTTCATTTTAATAGTCCAATTGCAGTTCAAGCTTAAAGCCCTCGCTGACTATCATCGAGATGAATAAATCAAAGCAGGCGTGTTCTGGGAACGATGAGGACCTGGTGATAGTCGACCGGCAGCCAACCTGGCGCTAACCTAGGCCCTTATCACTTTGCATCTGCTTATTCATGCAAAATCGGACCATTTAAATTGGCTCTTTGTTTTCATTAAATGTTCGATTATTCACGTTCGCGGTTCGGAGAATTGTCCGCTGTAATTAAAGGATGTTCTTAATAAAATGCCTTGTAAATGCTTACATTATTGAAAATAAATATATAAATCGAGAAGGAAATCCATCTCATGTAATAATCGAAAATAATCTGGCCAATTTTATTTCTAACACAATTTTACCCTCTAATTATAATAAAAATAATATTTCATGATAGAAAACTACTAAAGAACAATAAAATGTGAGAATATAGGAAGCAGTTGAATCGGTCTATGTCAAACGGGCGTAAGTAAATGTATTAAAAATTTATCAATTGCTTAACAAACACTTGTACTCGATTCAAGGTCGATCGTCTAGAACGAACAGCAATAATAGTGTTGATAGTCTTTGGGACTTTCTTCCTACTTTATTTCAGCCACCAATTTTTGACTCACCAAAGTCAACTTTATCTCCACTGCACCTTTCACATCGGTCACGCAAACCATTTCCACTAATTGGACACCCAAGGGTTTGCTACTTGGGCTATTTAACAACATCTAAGAGAGTACGGAGGAACTGTTTATCAGCATCCTTCATATAGTTGTTTTGAAAAAGAAGACAAAGAAAAAAAAACGAAGAAAAGAAAAAAATACCACATAGAATGGTTACTTATTTGTTACTACACCTTTTCAGTAACAGAAAATAAAGTTAAAGTCAAGCAAACAATATTAAAAAACATGGAATATGTTCTTGGTTAAGCGTCTGTATACAAAAGAAATGTACACAGCTTGCATGCCAGATAACCCATCAAATAATCACTTTTGTATAAGTATAGATTATTATATATAAAAAAAAATGAAAAAAGATTTGATCATGCGTTTTGTTCATTACTAGAAAATTTCACACGAGTCATTGCTTTCTCATGGTTTTAAATCATCAATACAGAATACAAACTGTGAAATAGCATAATATCTGGCAAAAAATGCACCATCATCCACCTTATTTTATTCCAATCTCAAGTGAAATATGAATGTATCGATTGTAAAATTAAACGATCTTTTTTTCCAATCACAAAACGACGTGTATGCAACAAAAAAATAAGTATTCTCTTTGTTAAATATTATGTTTTTTTGAAGCTTATTATAAACTCATATATAATATAGAGTATAACGTAATCAATTCTGGTTTTAATGTATTTAGAGATATACCACAAAAAGCGATTAGTATCAGGAGCGGACTTAAGGCTTTTGATCTAATATTGCCCAGACAGCACACTATATCCCTGACATGAGCCACCAATCTACATATAATTGCAATATTTATGAAATATTCACAGAATATATTTCATAATCTACATTCTAGAATGATATTCCAGGCATACAGTATGGTTCAAATGAAAGGAATAAATTCATTATAATGGAAGTAGTTGGTTTTTCGAAAAAATGCTCGAACAGGTCAATTTTGTTTACTTAAAGCGCAATTTTTTAAATAAAATTCAATTTTCCCCCACTTCCCATTTTTGGTCAGTGACGTCATTGACAATTTTTTTAAATAGCAACCCCAATTTTTTTTTCTTGATTTTGATAGATCTTGCAATTTCCTACTTGGAAACGTAATATTTGAAATATCTGACATAACAATTTTTTTTGAAAAAAAGTCATTTCAAGATCAGATACATAAATTTTATGTTATTTTGAAACACAACAAATTAATAAAAGATAATTATTTGTAATTAAGTGCTTAATTTAAAAAAATAATAATAATAATAATAAAACGAATTTAATGACAATTTCACAAATTCTTTTTATTATTATTTTTTTTATTATTATTATTTTTTGAACCATACTGTATGTATTTTTTGATATATATTTAACTATTTGTTTAATTATTTATAAGCATGTTTTCATAATTAGTAGTAGGAGAGAGTGGGGAAATCCCAGTCGGGTAGGTAATTCCGGTCACTAGTAATTTTCCGCTACAAACATAGTCGCTCCGTTAACTATGTTGCGCCATCTATTATGCAGTGGTACAAGTTAAATCCACCGGGTTTCGCTTTCAAGGCTCCAGTCTAAGACATCTGTTGTTGTGGTCAAGTTATTGCCAGGATTTCTTGTAATATTTTGACGAACTTAAACCAACATGCATTATAAAAATCTATGCAAAATTTATGTCAAAGAAGTGTCCGTACACTCATAATTTTCATTGAAAAAAGCACATTATAATTAGCTGCATTTCATCAAGGCACCTATGGCTCACCAGCCTAAAAACAAATGAATAATTATCGGCCATAATTTATTATCTGTCATTTGTTGTTGGTAGATTTGCAGTGAAGTTTCAAATTAGCATTAAAAATGAGCGAAAGAAATCGTGAAATTGCAATTCCACTTCGAAAGTTGACAGTTGATTTATGGAAAGAAAAAAAATCCCTTAGAAATATTGGAAAAATTGTTAAGAAGCCGTATACTACCGTTCAGTACATTATAAACCAGTATAAATTAACGGGTTCCTACAAGATTCGACCACGTTCTGGTCGTCCCAAGAAACTGACTCCGCCTGAAGAAGCTAGTATTGTTAGGCAAGTAATTATAAATTCCAAAAAAAGTGCACCAAAACTAAAAGAAGAAATACGAGAGCTATTTTCAAAAAATATTTGCCCGCAAACGGAGAGAAATTCTATACACAGAGCAGGCTATAAGGGGTGTACTGCTAGAAAGAAGTCGTTAATTTCGGAAGTTAATCGAAAAAAATGTTTAGCTTTTGCTACAGAATACGTTAATAAGCCTCCTGAATTTTGGGAATCTGTAATATTTAGTGAAGAAACTAAAATTAACCTTTTTGGATCTGATGGTAGAGCTAAAGTATGGAGAAAGAAGAATACCGCCTTTGATATTAAAAACCTCTGTTCCACGGTAAGACACGGGGGTGACAGTGTTCTGCTATGGGGATGCATGTCCGCTGAAGGTGTTGGAAATTTACATTTCATTAATGGGATCATGGATGAATATGTCTATATGAACATTTTGCGAGACAATTTAGCAGAAAGTGTTTTGAAATTAGCGCTCGAAGGAAGATACATTTTCCAACAGGACAATGATCCAAAGCATATTGCAAACTTGGTGCGAGAATGGATGATCCATAACGTGCGACAGCAACTATACACACCCCCGCAATAACCTGATGTTAACCCTATTAAACATAACGTTTCAAGTAAGGAAGAGTTAAAAAACAAAGTATTGCACGAATGGGAGAACATTCCAGCAGAACTTACTAGAAAGTTGGTTTCAAGTATGACAAGAAGGTTACAAGCGATTATCAAGGCGAAGGGCGGTCCAACTAAATACTAGTTTTTACATTTGTTTCCTACCTGTTAAATTATTATTAGAAACTGTTAAGTGTACGGAGTCTTTTTTGGCATTATTTTTGTATAGATGTTTATATTATTGATATAATTTTTAAATACGATTCGTTTTTGCAATTATTACTAATAATCATTAAAAGTATGTTCTCATAGAGTTTTGATTAATTAATTGAATACAACAAAAAAGTTCGATGTAAAGCAGGTAGTGTACGGAGACTTTTTGGACTAACTGTACAAAGCATCGAAGGATATGAAGATCGCTTGGACATTTTTAAAGAGATATTTGAAAATGTAGAAGACAATCCAGTGCTTCATGATTTATCAAAGTTGGAAAGACCCTTTACTGTGCCGGTAGCCTTAGAAGTCCGTATATATAACTATATTATAGGTATGCAAGAATTATGGTTTCGTCTTACCGTCCAGAATATTAGAAAACTAGCGTTCTCGGTTGCAAAATCAGTTGGTCGTGAAAATGTTTTTATGGAGGATAATGAAGTAGGCAAACTTTAAAAAGATATGGGTACTATGCTTGCTGATTTTTATGCGAAATTAGAGGCTCTTAGTACGAAATTGGACATTAAAGATATGCCAGGCAGAATTTATAACTGCGACCAAACGGGGTTATCTTTTGTAGAAAAAACCAGTAAAGTTGTAACGGCCTTAGGCAAGCGGTATGTTTACAAACGGACCTACGCATATAGAGGAAAAACAACTATATTTCTTGGTTGTATTTATGACGACGCGCGACGGTTCCTTTATACCACCTCTAATAATGTTCAAAGGCGTGCGCTAGAATCCAGATCTTACCCGTGGAGCCATTTCTAGCCCATTAGAAAAACAATCACCGAAAGGCTGGATAAACTTCGACATGTTTTTGGAATGGTTCCATTTTTTTATAAATTTGATACCAAAAGAAAGACCCCTTATTCTTCCAATGAACTCTTATGCTTCACATTTGTCTCGGATTGTTTTAGACCTTGTAAAGTAAAATAATATCCATCTCTTCACCTTTCCAGCACACAGAAGTCATTTTCTCCAGCCACTGGATGTTAGCATTAATCGTCCCCTAAAATCCACTTGGAACAACTGCTTAAACGATTATATGAAAGAAAAAAACGATGAAAAACCTAGTCCGTATACTTTCAAAAAATTTTTTTCTGTAGCAATGATTAAAAGTTTCACCCCAGAAATATTGAATACGCCTTTCGAAAAAGTAGAATCAGACCTTTAAATAAAGATTCCATCGTGCCCGAAACTGTAGCCCTATCAAAGCTAACGGAGACTCTTTTAGATGATGAATCAGTTGCTAAAAGTGATGACATTATTCCTTCTAATCCCCATTCGGAAAAATCTAGCGATGACAGTTTATTTCTACTTTTTATGCAAGTTCATCGAGCAAAGTAAAACCAGGGCTCAAGCCCGTGACTCCAGTGCAAAATGGCTAACTGATCCAGAATCGCCAGCACAGCCACGACCAAGACCATTAGCAGTAGTAAGCTCTGCTTCTAACTAAAAAAAATGTGCTTCAAAAGGAAAGTCCAAAAAAAAGGGCAAGAAAGAAGAAGACGATGATGACGATTGGCATTGTGCTGTCTGCGGAATCAGCTATCATGAGGATGAGGAAGCCAAAAATGGTGCGTTATGGGTTTAGTGCTCCTTTTGCTGCGTTCTGTATTACACAAGTTGTCAAACGAGATCTGACGATGAAGACACCTTTATGTGCGACGGTTGTGATGAGCATTCTTAAAATGACTGAGAATGATAATTTTTATGGTTTCTAATAAGTAAAATTATTATTTTGTAGTATACTTATACGTTGTTGATCTATTATTGATCTAATATTGATCTAATTTTTGATCTAATTTTTGATCTATTATTGATCTATTATTGACCTATTATTGATCTATTATTGATCTATTATTGATCTATTATTGATCTATTATTGATCTATTATTGATCTATTATTGATCTATTATTGATCTATTATTTATCTATTATTGATCTATTATTGATCTATTATTGATCTATTATTGATCTATTATTGATCTATTATTGATCTATTATTGATCTATTATTGATCTATTATTGATCTATTATTGATCTATTATTGATCTATTATTGATCTATTATTGATCTATTATTGATCTATTATTGATTTATTATTGATCTATTATTGATCTATTATTGATCTATTATTGA